CTTCCCCCCCAGCCTCCTGCCTGCACCCCAGGGCCTTTTCCTGACTCCCCTATCCCCCTCCGCTCTCAGCTTCCTGCCTACACCCCCCTGGCCTTTCCCTGACCTCCCTCTCGCCCTCCAAGCCTGTCCCTGCACCCCCAGAGCCCTCCTTGCCTTGGAGCCCTTCCCTGACGCCCCCCCACGCCCCGGGCCCTGCAGGTCTCCCTTTGAGCCTCCATTTCCCTTCCTGGATCCTAAGGCCCTTCCCCTGGGCTTCCACTGCCTGTCCAGCTCCTCCCTGGACCCCCAGGCTTCTCTGCCTTCCCTGGCCCCTCCTGGGACCCCTGGGACCCTTTCCCTAGATTCTCTCCTTCCTGGATCCCTCAGGACCTCCCCAAATCCCTCTGGGCCCCTGGGCCCCCCTCTACCCCCCTGGGACTCTCTCCGCCCCCCCCCCCCCAGCTCTCTTCGTCCTCCACCGCTGTCTGTAGCCCTCACCCTCTCGGTCTCCTCCATCCCAAGACCATCCCATCTCAGTCCATTTTTGTTTCCACCCCGTGCCCTCCTGCAGCAACCCCTTCATCTACCCCCAGCCTCCCGGTCTCTTGCAGCCCCGTCCCGTGGGCTGGCTCCTCCCGCAGCCTCTGCAGCCTCCTCCTTGCCAGCCCGCCTTCTCCTCAGGGGCAGATGGGCCTCAGCGCCATGGTGTGGGCACATGGCAGGCCCTTCAGCCGTGCTAGGGGTTTGTGCGTTTGCTTTTCTTAATCTCTCCCATTTTCTCTCCTTTTTAAAAAAACAAACGTTTTTAAATTTCAGGCCCGCTGTCCTCTCCAGGCTGTCCCTTGCTTTCCTCCCCTCCCCCGCTTTTGTCCCCGGCCCCCTTCCCTGGAATCCTTGGAGAGGGAGCAGGTGCTGGGAGCTCCCTCCTGGCTGCCCAGGCCGCACTGGAGCCTCCCGACCACTCCCAGGGCGAGCCCACTCCCAGGGCTAGCGGAGGGCGGGTGAGGCCAGGCGGATCCTGTAGGGGCGGGTGGAACCCTGGGGCTGGCACAGGTGGTAAGCTTTGACTATCCTGGGTGACGGTTGAGGTGGGTCATCTAGGAACACCAGTTATGTAGCCTTCTCTGGGCCAGGAGGGACTTGGCTCTGTGCACGCGCCCTCGTGTGTGTGTGTGTGTGTGTGTGTGTGTGTGTGTGTGTGTGTGTGTACACTGGGCGGGGTGCCTGCGTGTGTTGGGCAGTCCTGGCTGACGGGGTGCTGGCGTCTTGGCACTGTGCGCACACTGGCCTGTGTGTTGGGAGTTTGTGTCTGTGTGCAGATGAGGACCGGGTTGCTGGTGCCCTCCTGGGGGCTCCCGCCTACACACACTTGTTACCTTCCGTGTTCCCTAGAGCCCGGGGTCTCAGTGCTGCTTATCTCCCTGCTCACAGATGAGACTTCAGGGCTCGCAGGAGGCACACTCGGCTTCTGAGTGGCACGGAGGCAAGCTCCAGGCTAGGTTCCCTGCCTCTGCCGTGCTCTCACGGAGTCCCCAGTCTCGGCCAGAGGCAGCATGGTCCACAAGGCGCCATGGGGCCCGATAGAGTGACAGCCCGGGAACTGTGTGAGAACGACGACCTGGCCACTAGCCTCGTGCTGGACCCCTACCTCGGCTTCCGCACCCATAAAATGAACGTCAGGTGAGGCGGCCTGGGGGCAAGGGTGGGCTCCCAAGGGGCCAGGGCTCCCTGTCCTGGCACTGCTGCCCTCCCCTGGCCCGGTCCCCCCTCCCCTCCGAATGGGGGTTGGGGCGGGGCCGGGAAGACCCTGGGACCCAGGCATGCCCTCTCCCCCAGCCCCGTGCCCCCCCTGCGGCGACAGCACCACCTGCGCTCAGCGCTGGAAACTTTCCTGAGGCAGCGGGACCTGGAGGCTGCATACCGGGCCCTGACGCTGGGAGGCTGGATGGCCCACTACTTCCAGAGCCGGGGCCCACGGCAGGAGGCTGCCCTCAAGACCCACGTGAGGGAGCCCTCCCCTCCCCCGCTGTGTGTCCTCCCTGCTCACCTCGCCCGGCCCCACCTGGCAGATACCTAGAGCCCCTTGGCTCAAGCCCTAGAAGTCCTGACTTTCTAGCCCTCGAGACCATCTGAGGCGAGGCTCAGAGACTCCTAGGAGAGGAGAGCTGGAGGGGAGGGGGAGCTCTGAGATGGAAGCCAACCTCTTTGACAGATGAGAAAACAGGCCCCAGAGGAGACATGAGGCCCCCGAGACCACACAGTGAGTCAGTGGCAGAACAGACCTAGAGCCCCTGAGCAAGAGGACCAAAGACATCCCTCCCCATCCTCAACAGGTCTACCGCTACCTCCGTGCCTTCCTGCCAGAGAGTGGCTTTGCCATCCTGCCCTGCACCCGCTACTCCATGGAGACCAACGGTGCCAAGATTGTGTCCACCCGTGCTTGGTAAGAAGGCAGAAGTCCCACGCAGGCTGCCAGGAGATGAGACCCCCTCGAAGGAGCCCAGCCCCGAGGGGATAGCACAGAGGTCCCATGTCCATGGGCTGGCCAACTGGGAAGAGAAGGGCCGGTACTCCGGGCACTGCTAGAAGGATGGGACCAGTGGCCCGTGTGAGCCTGCTGTGCTGCCCTGAAGGCTGTCAGCAGGAGGGCCCTGAGCCGCTGGGGCTGGAGAAGGCAAGTCCCCAGGCCGGAGGGGAAGCTGGTCTGGGAGTGGACCGCCGGGACCAGGCACCTCCCTGCATCTGGCCCTGGAGACCCTGCTCCCTGGTTGCTTCTGCCAGAGGCCCCGGCCGAGCACCTGCAGGCCTGGCATTGCTCACAGCTTCGCTGCCTGGCCGCTTGGCAGGAAGAAGAACGAGAAGCTGGAAATGCTGGTGGGCTGCATCGCAGAGCTGCGGGAGGCGGATGAGGGGCTGCTAAGGGCTGGCGAGAACGACTTCAGCATCATGTACTCCACCCGCAAGCGGAGTGCCCAGCTGTGGCTCGGTCCTGCTGCCTTCATCAACCACGGTGAGCCCCCAGCAGGCAGTGTAGGGAGAGGGGTGGGCCTGTGAAGAGTGGGGCTGGGGCACAGCATTGGGGTGAGGCCTGAGAAGGGGCGGGCCAGCGGGGCTCAGACTGCGTCTCACAGGTTTCTCTTCTCTCTCCACCCCCCACTGGCTCCAGACTGTAAGCCCAACTGCAAGGTGAGACCTGGGGACACGTGAGGTGGGAGCACATGTGGGAAGTGAGGGTGCCCTGGGACCTGGGGAAGGGAGTTTCTGTTCTGTATAAAGAAGTGGGTCTGGGGGAGGTGGGCTGTGGGACCCTTCTCAGCCATGTCACCTCAGGACAGGATTCAACTCCTCTGTGGCTCCAGGGCCAGCTGTCACATATGTCTCTGGTTTTCCACGCTCTGCGGCTCCTGAAAGGGACAGAGCGGGTATTTGTTCCTGAGGCTGTCAAAAAAGGAGGAAAGGGCTCCAGCACCTATTTCTCTGGAACTTGATTTCTGCATTGCCCTGGCAGCCAGTGTACAGGGGGCTTGGCAGGAAGGGGAGAGACTGGAGGCAGGGTGGCTGCGAAGAGGTGATGAAGGACTGACTGCAGCTGGGGTCTTGAGGCAAAGGGACAAAGATGCAGCCGGTGGCCTGGGGGCCATCTCCCGGGCAGGTGTCTGGCTTGGGTGGATGGATGGACAGATAGACGATGCAATAGATGTAGAGCAGTGGGGGCAGGCATGGGTGTGGGGGGACCGGGAGGGTAGGGGCCCATGGGGCAGTGGCTGGGTAAGTGACCCTAAGACCAGGCCGGGGTACATGAGGGCTGGGCTGTGGCATGGAGGCAGGCCTCAGGGAGGGGGAGGCTTCCGAGGCAGGAGAGCTGGGACCGTGGCTGGCCAGGCACAGGCTGGCAGTGAGCAGGCAGCTCAGGAGGGGACTACCAAGGTGTGTCTGAGGAGGTGGGACTTGGCACATGGCTCCAGAGGGAGTGGTCACCGCTGCTGGCCCTGCATGCTGCCAGGGGTCAGACTGGATCCTCGTCCTGCGGGGCAGGCTGTCCAGGGGCTGCTGTCTACTAATGGGGGCTCAACTGCTGCCCTGTCCTTGGCCGGCGGGAGAGTGGGCAGCCCCTGCCCTGTGCCCAGGCCATAATGACGAGTGGGCTCGGTGCCCAGTTTGTGCCCGCAGATGGGAACGCGGCCTGCGTGAAGGTACTGCGGGACATTGAGCCGGGGGATGAGGTGACGTGCTTCTACGGCGAGGGCTTTTTCGGCGAGAAGAACGAGCACTGCGAGTGCTACACGTGTGAGAGGTGGGCACGGGCGGGCAGGCTACCACTGGGCCAGGCCCCTGAGCCTGGAGGTGCATCCTCGGGCCATCCACCGATGTGTCCCTTCCCAGCTTTCCCGATGTCCTTGTCTTCCCCCTGCCGGCCTCCCAGGAAAGGTGAAGGCGCCTTCCGCCAGCAGCCCAGGGAGCCCGTGCTGCCGCCGCGGTCCCTGGACAAGTACCAGCTCCGGGAGACCAAGCGACGGCTGCAGCAAGGCCTGGACGGCAGTGGCCGGCAGGGCCTGTTGGGCCCTCGGGTCTGTGCCCACCTGTCCCTCCTGCGCCGGGACCCATACTGCGGTGAGC